ATACCTAAAAAGAATAAAAATTTAAAAAAAATTTACTAAATTGAATATTGTAACGAAAGAAAAGCTTACTTGTAACGTATAATCAAATTATCATATATCACATTATCCTCTGATTGGATGATGCTGCCTAAATCAATGGTAGAGATGTTTAAAGATTGATGGATATTAGATTGTTGAGAGATATTGTTATCTATAGTATCCGATTGTGCAATTTTCTGATACTCTTTCCAATAGAATTCTGTCATGGCAGTAACAGAAATAAATATCATTTCTAGCTTTGACAGTTTATCTTGCAATTCTTGTAACTGACTGCATTTGAAAATGTATTGAAGATATATAAAAGATAGATACAGAATTTATAATACATTTATAATAAATTTTAATACCTTGTAATATCGATTATATTTTGACTATAAAGTTGTTTTTCACGTGCAGTTAAAAATGTAAACATTAATTTCACCATGTCTAATGGCATTGCAGGTTTATAAGGACTTTCTTGCTTGAATTTTAGATATACATTACACATCTTGTCATATCTGTAAAAAAATAAGAGAATATAATGTATTTTATAGAAAATATAGTGTATTTTATAATAATGCGGAGCACCGCTGCATACGAGTGAGTCGAATGCTCGCTAAAGTGAAAAGGAGCAATATTATTCTTTATTTTTTTTGATATTTTTTGGATATTATATTATTTACTTTCAATATATTGTATTTGTTTCATTTAATCTGTTATATTTTAAGATTTAAAAAGTAATATAGTTTTAAAATATTTGTATTTCTAATAAAATTCAAACATATTGGTTTCTGTATTTTGTTTACGTTTAATAGACCGTGCACTAGCCGAAATCATTAATTCGGATTATGTCGAGTCGGCTTTCTTTGAGAAATGTTATTATCTCACTTTAGCGAGCTCTCAACTCACTCGCGCGCGGCACGCGAGAAATCGCACGAACATCCGGGGCCTAGTTATATTAATAATATATTACCACTTACAATTCTGATAAATTTCCTATGTAATCAATATCTCGAGCTTTATCTATTAATCTATTATTATCTTCCTTTAGAGATATAAACTTTACTTTTATTTTATTGGCTGCGTTAATCAATTTATCAACTTTGTCAAAAATTTCTACTTTCTTTTTATTAGTTGCGTTTTCGTCAGTTGTATTCACATATTTCATACGAATTATGTGAACCTGATCTATGAGGATCTTTATATTTTCCAATGTCTTCTCTACATTCGTATTAAACATATCAATTTTTTGTTGGAATAAATCCCTGAAATATGCGAAACATTAACATATATAGTAATAATAGTTACATCTTTATAAATTTTTAAAAATAACGATCAATATTATACAAAAAACTTACACGTTTATATTAAGTGCAAATATGTACAACTGAAATAAATACATTTCTTTTTTCACAAAATATATCGTATGGCGATAATAATCTTTCAGTATTTCAGAATTTAATTCATTTCTAGATTGTGTCATCATTTCTTTCACTGCTGCAGGGATATTCGATATAGATATATCTTCTATTGAACAACATCCATTTCTGAAGAGAAAGAAAACGTGATCCTACAGCAAAATTGCAATAAATTTAAAAATAGCATTTTACCTTATCATTATAAATTGAATATACGTACATTGGTTTGTGATTTGAGTGAAACATTATTTTCAATCAACACTGCACCTTTATAATCAGTTAAGAGTTGATTTTTTATTTCAATATTAGTATCTCTTTCTATTAACAACTGAAGATCTCCAAGAGTAGTAGTATCTTCAATTTCATATGTAATAATTTTATAAAATAGTACGCAGAAAATATTCAGTATCTAAATACAAAAAGCTTGAAATTAAAAAAGAAAAATACAATATATGTTTAATAATTACACACACACACACACACACACACACACACACACACACACACATATATATATATATACGAGGGGAGTCTGAAAAGTTTTGAGCCTTAACATGAAAATGACGTTACTCGTCAAAACCATTCTAGTATTACAATAGTATATGCTTTGAAAGACTTTTGTGAAAATTTCAGCCATTTTGGACGCTCAGTTGTTGTTTGACAATCGTTTGTGTCAGTCGATGTCAGTGTTTTTGTAAAAATGGAAAAAATTGGAATATCGTGCCGTGATTAAATTTTTACATTCGAAAGGCAATACGCCTGCGCAAATTAAAATTGAGTTGGACGCTTTACGGGGGCTCTGTCCCATCATTTGCTACCGTAAAAAGATGGGCAGATGAATTTAAACGTGGTCGTATCAGCTTGGCTGATGATGAGCGTTCGGAACGGCCAAAAACTGCGACCACTGATAACATCGAAAATGTTCACCAAATGGTACTGGGCGACTGTTTAATGGGATAGTCACGGAATTGTGTGTATCGACTATCTTGAAAAAGGTAAAACAATAACGGGAGTGTATTACGTATCATTACTTGAGCTGAAGGCAGAAATTGCAAAAAAAACGGCCGCATTTGAAGAAGAAGAAAGTGCTGTTCCATCAAGACAACGCATCTGCTCACACTTCGGCGGTCGCCAAAATTCACGAACTGCACTTCGAATTGATTGACCACTCACCGTATTCACCAGATCTGGCCCCCAGCGACTTTTTCCTGTTTCCTAAGCTTAAAGTTTCGCTTGGAGGACAGAGATTTTCATCGAACGAGGAGGTCATCGCATATGTAAACGCCTATTTTGCAAGACGCCAATTACTATTTGGAGGGATTAAAGAGGTTAGAGTATTGATGGAAAAAATGTATCGACTTAAAAGGAGATTATGTTGAAAAATAAAACTATATTTGACCGAAAAAATACTTGTTTCTATGTTAGGCTCAAAACTTTTCAGACTACCCTCGTATATATTCAATAAAAAAGTATAAAATTAAATATTATATATTAAATATAATTAATTAGAGGAACTTGTTGTGTAAATTGATAATCTACGATAGGATGAATGTTTATAAATTTATACTACTGTGATCAAATATAAACGAGATTTTTAAATTTAAACTGCGCGGGTTCATCGATTCTGACAAATATTTTTCTGATTAAGTTGGTAGTACTGTCTTTGACATCTGTGTGAAATTTCATGTCATTCTCTTCATTTGTTTAATAGTGAACGCTCATTTTGTGAATATCCAAAAGTATTTTTTTCAATTTTTACGATGTATGATTCTGTTGGGCAAAGAAATTGTATTTTATTTTGTTTACGGAATGAAATTTCTGCTACTGAAACGTTCAGAATGTTGCAGAAGGCTTTTGGTGACCAGGCTCTATCAAGACCAAGTGTATTTGACTGGTATATAATAGTATAAAATGTTGAAAGATGGTCGAGAAAGCGTAGAAAACGAACCACATCAAAGATGACCAAAAACATTAACTGATGAACAACACGTGAAGTAAATCAAGGATTTGGTGCTCCAAAATCGTCGATTGACAATTAGAGAAACTTGCCGATATTGTAAACATTTCATTTGGATCAGTCCAGACCAAGAGGCCAGATTTGTGGACAGACAACTCATGGTTTTTGCACCACGATAATGCGCCATCTCACACTGCACTGGTTCTTCGTGATCATTTCGCCAAAAACTCGACCCATATCGTTCCACAACCACCGTATTCGCCTGATTTAGCGTGTGACTTCTGGCTATTCAGTAAACTCAAAAGACCGCTCCGGGGACACCGTTTTGAATCGATTGAGGAGATACAAGCCGAAACGAAGAAGGTATTGAAGGCCATTCCAGAAGAAGAGTTTTCAGAGTGTTTCGAGGATTGGAAAAAGCGTTGACATAAGTGTATTGCATTGGGAGGGGATTATTTTGAAGGCGACGAATTTGATTTTGAAGAATAAATAAAGATTTTTCACTCTATAACAAAAATCTCGTTTATATTTGATCGCAGTAGTATATTGTTGTTTTAAAATTATATTATTAGATTAATAATTAAAAAATTTTTGATATTAAATTTGAATTAAAATGTAAAAATTCAAATCAAAATGTAGTTTGGACAGGGTTTAAAATGAGTTACAGTTTAGTAGATTATTCGAATATTAATTTTTAATAATTAATTGAGGAAGAATTTAATTGTAAATTTAGTATAATTTTATTAATTGATAATAGATTTATAATGTGTACAAATTGCCCGTCATTCTCATTAATACATGAGTGAGAGAAGTCGTAACATAGTAAATATATTGGAAAATGTATTTAGATAAAATTTCATTTAAGGAATTTATTGGAATAATACTGTTAAATTTAAGAAAAACTTAGTTTTAATTACTAAATTTAAAAAATTAATTAATTTTAGTAAGATAATGTAATTATTATTGTAATAAATTATATTTTT